TCCAGCATTGTGGGAGTGTTGGGGTGCTTGGGTGCTTATGCTTGGGTGCTTATGTTTGGGTGTTTGTACTTGGGCCCCAATTTCTCCCTAGCCTCAGAAACACTGTCCCTTGATAATCATTTAAGATCAATTGAGCCCCAATAAAGCCCCAAAACCTAAATTAATCTTTTTCTCTCTGAGTGAACTAAAAACACCCCTTCCTGTGTCAGCAAATTCCAGGACCAGATAGAGCTGATCAGTATTCTTCCTGTTTGTTATCACTGGGCCCAGGATGTCTGGGACCAGATACTCTCTTGAATAATGGGACTTTTCTTATCTTGAGTTTCAATTGAGAACTGACCACTCCTTAACCACTCCCTAATCCCACTCTGAATCCCCTAGTTAGCATATTTGGCACATGTGTTATTGTATTTTATCCTGTATAAACTTTAACTGTACCTCTCTAAGGTTGCAAGTTCCTTTAAGAATCCTTGCCTGCTGAAAAGCGTACCAATAAACTCTGCCACCTTGGCTTAAGATTGCTTGAGTTTGTGAATTCATTCCAGACAACCCGCCCTGTACTCTGGTCTTTGAGGGGTCACAACCTCTCAACCCTCATCAGGAGGTGCATCTAACCAGCTATGACATAAGCTGCTGAAGGAACTGTGGGCATTGATCCTGAATAGAAAGCTGAGGGCAAACAGGACTGCAGGACTTAAATAAAGTGCTGTCAATTAGAGGAAAGATTATACTTGTGTTTTTCTAGCAGGCTGATTATGGTTCAGCATTGTTGTACTGAGAAATCAGCGAGCGAGACCCAGACGTAATTTAAAATGTGGATTTATTAGCATGCGGCTGCCAGGGGTATGTACATCCAAATCAAGCAGCCCCCATCAGGGGTCAAGCTAGGGTTTATATGGAAAAGATTATGGGAAAGAAATGCTAGGAACACTGATGAGGTAATCCAAAGGTTCAAGTGTCTTTGGGGGCTATGGATGGGAAAGTACAAGGAATATACTGGACAGGGAGGGGGATGGATCTTTGGAGTCTGGCAGGAGGAAGAGTTCTTGGTCAAGGACATCCCTCTCCCTCTGTCTTGATGAGAGAATGCTCTGAAACAAAGGAAAGCTTTCTCACAACTAAGGAATTGGGAGGCTTCCAGAGACCTGATCCGAGGGCTGGGGCCTGAGCAGCCCAGCTCTGTGTAGCTGTACCAGGGAGAGAGATAAGGGTCATGCTGAGGCCCATGCATGAATAACTGCTAGGCACAGCGTCCTTGGGCTGGGGAGTGGTTGTCAGAGACAGTGTTTCTGAGACTAGGGAGACATTTGGGGCACAAGTATAAGCACAAGCACCCGAGCATCCCATCATTACAGGTCAGAGATCACACAAACCAGACCAGGGGTCCTGGTCTCTGGTGTAAACATAATTATCTAAAGCAATTATGTTGCAAGCTTTCTTATCCATTTGCACTGGAGGTATGGGTTATCCTGAGCTATGCAAGAGTACATTTCACTATTGTTTAGATTTAGGAGGAAAGAGGTCTGGGGCACGATTAAGCACCAACTTTTGCTTTCCATGGCTTAAAGGGCCCTACTACCTAAATGGCAAAATAATGTTCTGCATTACCGCATATGTAAGAACTTTGTAAAAATTCAATCTGGGATGGGCAGCCTTGTAGTAGTGAACTCCCTGCCACCAATTACTCAAGAAGAGGCTAGATAACCTTTCTCCAGAATGATTTCTTGTAGCACTGGATGTTAATTCAGACTAGCTGATTTCTAAGGTCTCTTCTGATTCAGATATTCTAGGATTCTAGAATGTCTTATTTTCTTGGCCTGTTTCGTGGGTGGAACTCTTTCCATTTGTTCAGGCTGACCCTGGCTGCTTGTCAATTCAGGCAGGCCTTTTTACTTTTTCTGAGACTGTTTTCTCCTCTGTAAAATGTTGAATATGGATTCAACTGGAGCCTCTTCATCTTTTGTATGTCCTGGGTCCTTTTGGCAGTTTGGTGCTATGGACCCTTTCTCAGAATAATGCTTTTAATGTATAAAATACATTACAAAGGAAAGAAATTATATGGAAATACAGTCTTAATTTTTTTTTTTTGTAACCAAGATCATTAGTCCCCAGGTTAATCTAATCTAATCCTCTGGATTAGATGAGCTCTAACATTGTTCCAAATCACTTGGGTTTCTACCTGGGAAGGCCCTTGAGGGAGTACCTCCCTTATATCCCTTCTTAGTCTCCCCCACACTCCCTGAAGTATTATTGAGTCTTTGCTTTTGCGTGGGAAATTCCTTCAGGTCACTGTTGTTATTCAGTCATTTCAGTTCTGTCCAACTCATGGTGATCCCATTTGGGGTTTTTTTTTGGTAAAGATATTGGAGTGGTTTGCCATTTCCTTCTCCAGGTCAGAAACTGAGGCAAACAGGGTGAAGTGACTTGTCCAGTGTCACAAAGCTAGTAAGTGTCTGGGGACATATTTGAACTCGGGAAGATGAGTCTTCCTGACTATGCCCAAAGGGCTATAAAAATGTGCATACCCTTTGACCCAGCAATAGCACTTCTAGGGCTGTATCCCAAAGAGATAATACAAATGGGAAAAGGACCCACATGTACAAAAATATTTATAGCAGCTCTTTTTGTGGTAACAAAAAATTGGAAATTGAGAGGATGCTCATCAATTGGGGAATGGCTGAACAAGTTGGGGTATATGAATGTAATGGAATACTGTGGTGCTATAAGAAATGATGAACAAGCTGACTTCAGAAAAACCTGGAAAGACTTGTGTGGTCTGATGCTGAGTGAAATGAGCAGAACCAGGAGAACTTTGTAAACAACAACAGCCACGTTGTGCAATGACTAATATTGATAAACTTTACCCTTCTCAGCAATACAAGGATCTAAGACATCCCCAGAGGCCTCGTGGTGGAAAATGCTATCCACATCCAAAGAAAGAACTAATGGAAGTTGAATTGCTATCATTTTTTCCCCTCTTCTGTTGAGTCTTGGTTCCTCTTTCTAATGGTTCCTCCTATTGGTGTTAATTTTTATTTACAACTTCACTAATGTGAAAATATGTTTAACAGGAATGTAAATGTATAGCCTATATGAGATTGTGTGCCATCTTGGGGAGGGGGGTGGGGAGGAAGGGGGATAAAATTTTTAAACTCAAAAGCATATGGAAGTGATTATTGATAAATCAAAATAAATTAATAAAATTAAAAAAAAAGAAAAAGATGAGTCTTCCTGACTCAAGGCTTGGCACTCTGTTTACAGCACCACCTAGCTGTCTACCTTCAGGTCATAGGGGAAATCAAATCACAAAAGCCTATCATATCCAATTAGCCCTTTTGTCAAAAGTAGCAACAATTAGAGACATAGGCCAGCAGTAAACCAGAAACCCGAATCTTTATTAGAATTGTGATAAAATAAACAAGGGAGGAAAGTTCCAAAGCAAAACAAACAGTGAATATAATAAGCAACAAGCATAATAAATAAGGGCCCCTAGATGATGGTGAAACAGTTATAGCCTGGCCCTGAAAACTGATAATAACAATGGAAAATCCAAACTTCAGTGCACCCATCCTCGCCAAGGCTTGCCAGGGTCCAGCAACCAACACTCACCCAACTCCTTGGCCTGCATGGACTGCTGCTTCTGAAACTTCCCTCCAGGATAACTTCAAGTTTTGTGGTCAGCACAGACCTGGACCTCTAGCAATAAACCCTCATCCTCAACCACCTCACTCTTTGGCAGGTTAAAAAAATTCCCGCAAATGGATCTTCTGCTTATTTCTTCACCAAAGGGGGTGGGGGGTGGGGAGAGGGGAAAGTGCCCTGTATTCGGGTCTCTATCCTGAGCTACCCTGCCCACCTGTCCTCCCTGCACTTCCCACTTCTACCACCCCTGAAAGACACCCACCGTAGGGTGCTAAGGGAAGTCAAGCTTCCAGGTTGTTTCAGCGAAATACAATATGCTAAGCTCAGGGGATGTCTGTTGTGAAAGGGTCTGGTCATCCTCTGGTGTGAGATGACCAGCCAAAGCCATGAGGCATTCCCCCCAGGCCTGTTGTGTTTGCTCTGATGTTGAGGGCGAAGGCTGTCTCTCTGTCAAGGAGGAGTCTGAAAACAGCAACAGTAATAAAGACCGTGGGGGCTCTCTGGCTTCAGGGGACCCTTCCTCTAGCAGGCTAAACAAGATGTCACCAGCACATTGCCCAGGTGGTAGTAATACAGCCTCTCTTTCTCCTCAGGGCTTCAATTTACTAGAATCCTTCAGGTTTCTTCACCTACAGAATATTAACTCTAGATAAAATAAAATAAAATAAAAAATCAAAGCTAAGAAAAAGCTGAGTAATGTAAAAAACCCAAACTAATAACAAACTGGATAATTCAAAATACCAAAGCTCATAAAAAGCTGGATAATACAAAAACCAAAACTAATTAAAAAATTGGATAAAGGAAAACCCCAAAGTTAATAAAAAGCCTTATAAAACCAAAAAAATCAAAGCTAATAAAAGCTACATAATACTAAAATCCAAAAACTAATGGAAAATTGGATAGAGAAATTCAAAGCTAATAAAAAACTGGATAACCCCCCAAAATCAAAGCTAATAAAAAAAACTAGATAATAAAAAACCCAAAGCTAAAAAACACCTGGATAATTCAAAAATCAGAGCTTATAAAAAGCTGGATAATACCAAAAAAATCAAAGCTAATAAAAAGCTGGATAATGGCAAAAACCAAAAACTAGTGAAAAATTGGATAGAGAAATCCAAAGCTAATAAAATACCGGATAATACCAAAAAAATCAAAGCTAATAAAAAGCTGGATAATACAAAACCCCAAAGCTAATAAAAAACTGGATAATTCAAAAATCAGAGCTCATAAAAAGCTGGATAATACAAAAACCCAAAGCTAATTTAAAAACTGGATAAAGGAAAAAAACCAAAGCTAATAAAAACCTGGATAATACAAAAAAAAATCAAAGCTAGTAAAAAGCTAGATAAATCAAGAAAATCAAAGCTAATGAAAAGGTAGATAAAGCTAATTATCTTTGTTAAACATGTTCAACTGAGTTAGATGGAAAGACATGAAGGAAACAACTGGAATTAGTAATAAGGAGAAACAGTAGTGCTGGAGATTTAGGAAGATGGGTCCCCATCTTCACGATGACTCTTCGAGAGCTGATCAAAACTGTAAGAAAAGAGAAGGAAACGTGAGATCTGAAATGTGGGGATAGGAGGAAGGTACTTCTTCCTCCAGTCATCACCAAAGCCCTGGGGCTAAAATGGAATGAATATTGTGTCTTGAAAAACAAAACAAAAAAACCAAAACACCCAGCAAAGCACCAGACCAGTATTTTACTTAAAATTGCATTACACAAACTGGACCAAATTTTGTGCTTGGATGCCCAGAGAAATTTAAATGGCTTATTGAAGGAATTCGTGGCATTTCTTAGGACAATAACCCCAAGGCTGCTGTAGGAGTGCTTTGGATAAAACTGCTCTTGCCTATCTCATCAGTTGTGGAAATATTTAGGGGTTTTCCTTCACTTAAATACTGTTCTCATAGTTTGACTGTTTTACTGAGCAAGTGATAACAATGGGTGTTGGGTAATCAGTACTTTACGGTATAGACATCTGGAATTGGAATGTGAGGGTGGTTAAATCTAATATTATTTGTGTGTGTATTTGTGTGTGTGTGTGTGTGTGTGTGTGTGTGTGTGTGTGTGTGTTCTAGCTCCGCACTTCTATGATCTGTCCTCGAAAAAGGGGAACTTGGCCGATAAAAATCTAAGCAAAGCAAGTCATTCCCAATCACTCATCTTTAATGAGGTATGTGCCAGTGGGCATGCATGCCCACCTGTCCAGTGGGAAATCCAATCAAAGACCCACACAAAGGCTCACTACCCTATAAGCTCATCAGCTTGATCTGGGGACTCCCTAGATTAACCCCTTATAGTAAGATTCACTTTAAATGAATGACAACATGTAGACAGCCTGAGGGATAGGTACACTGGGTAGATTTTCTAAGGAGGATTTATGGGAAAACATGGCCCTGAATCCCATAGAATGAAAAGGTCCAATCAACGTGGGCAAAGGGAGCATCCATACTAATAATGCATGATTCCTGCATCCAAAGTGTTCCCTAAATGACCTTAAAGGAACCTCATTTTCTGGGCCCAAAGAATGGGGAGGAGCAGACCCACCTAGAAGAGTCTGGCATAGCACTGGTCACAGTGAATGATTCCCTTGTGGATGTACACATGGTCCAGCATATTGGCCATTATCTTCTCGCAAATCTCACACTACAAATGAGATGAAGAATGGTTATGAGGTTAGTGGAAATCCAGCCCTAAGTGAATGTACACTGGGCAACCAGATGAAGAAGAGCCAGCAGCTGGTTGGTGCTGTTGTGACATCTTGACCGTTGGGAGTCCTCCTCTTTCAGTCTCATTGAGACCGTGGCCAACATAGGGAAACATAATCCAAAGTCCACTTGTGGGATGATGGGCCGCTTCTGACTCAGGAAAGGAATCTGAAAGTTGTTGTAGACTGTTTCCTGAAGCCCTTACAGCCCAGGCTATTTCTGTGGCTAAAAATGGGCGGGACATACCTTGACCCCAGTGGGCTAAAACATTAATAAGCAATTAACACCTTAGCAGGGACTATAATCTCTGCTCTTCTGGTGACTCTTCTGGTGATAGAGCTGAAAAGGCCCTTAGAGACCTAGTCCTACCCCCTTATTTGATAGATAGGGAAACAAAGGTACCGTGAGGGAAAGCCACTTGCCCAAGGTCATATAAATAACTTCCAGCAGAGCTCAGAGCAGAACCCAAATCTCTTTGACTCCCAGGGCAGGGACCACGCCTTTCACTCCTGCAACCCCCACAAACACCCAAGACACAGGGCTTGATTCATGCTTGCTGACTTCTGAGATTCTGGCCAATGTGACTTTCCCCTCTGTGGGCCGTGGTTTCCTCTGTAAAATGAATATACCTAGATGATCCCAAAAGCTCCTTCTAGTTCTGAATCAATGTGGCTATGAATCTAATGGCTGTAAGTCCCAAAGGTTCTAAAAAAAAAAAAACCAGTGGATCTACTTGGGTATATCCAGAGAGAACTTTAGTTAGACAAAAGGCTTCAACTTTGGATAATCTCTGGAATTTGAAGAATCACCATGCTTTCCCAACAAGGGGGGTGAATAGGAGGAGAGGGAATTGTATTTTGTTTTTTAATAGTAAAACAATTCTTACCTTGAAGCAGCACTCATGGAAGCAGGTGCCCAAGTGCTCCAGAGTAATTTTGGGTCCAGTTCTGATCTCTTTGAGGCAGTGGGTACAGGAAGCACCACTTATCCTAGGGAGAAGGAGGAGATCTTGGTGACTGGCCAAAGGGTATGGGCAGACAATGCCAGTTTGGGTTACTGGCTCCAGATGGTTCAGAATCTGTTACATCAGCCACAGGCTCAGTGCCAGGATCACAGACAATTTACCTACTTCCCCACTTTAGAGATGGCCTGAGGGCAGTTTCCTGAAGGTCGTTGGCACAGGAGTTGGCACAGAAACTTCTAGCTGGAGGGCATGGGACTTGCTGGCTCTCCTCAGCTCCAGGGACTAATCAGTGGGCATGTGAACACACAGTTCTTCTTGGAACCACCCTCCTTCTTCCTGCCCTCACACCTATCTAGTTTTACAGCTGCTGGCTGAAGCCTTGGATATTTGAACCAACACCTGCTATGCCAGATAGACAGCAACATTCCATCCAACTCTAAATCTCTGAAGAGGTATATTTCAGTTCATTCCTTTAAAATGAGTTATTAGCTTGTTTTCCTGAGCTCCCCACTCCAAGGTTAGTCTGGCACCAAAGGTCTTCATTTTACCTTGGGCACTTATTACTATGCTGATGTTGGCGACCACTTTTATATATCCATGTCCCATTTACTTATTCATCTCTATGAATTATCTCTATCCTCCCTTACCCTCAAAAGGCACCACTCAGAAGAAGCAGGCTGAGGGGGCATGTGTAGGTAGAGATGGAGTAGAAAGGGGGATGTCTCTATTCTAGCTGTGCGGGACATGCAGCTAGATTGGGGAGGCCCTGGAATGATAGCCCTGGTGGCTTATTCTTCAAGCCAACAGAGATCCAGTGAAGATGTCTGAGTACAGAAGTGATGGCTGTATCCCACTTGTGCATTAGTAAGGTGGCCCGACTGGAGAGGAGACAGACTGGAGGCAGGGGGCCAAGCTAGGTGCACATTTGGCAGGGGACTGACTAGAGGGTGTTTGAAAGGCAGAAAGTAAATGACTGGCTGCTTGGTGCATCCTCAGGACACCAGAGATCCCAGACAAGGGTGTCTGGAGGATAAAACCTATGGAATTGAAAGGGACGCTTTCTTTTACTTGCTCAAGTGTGAGGAGGGCCTAGCAGATGAAAGCTCTCAAGCCTTCATATACTTCTTCGTGAAAGCAGCCCTTTGCTACAGAAAGAGGCAAAGAACAGAAATGTGGACCAGAGGACTCAGAGCAAGGAGGAAGAGAGAGAGAAAAGACGCATTCTCCCTAGTGCTGACTCTTCTCTGATGAGTCATTTCTCTTTCTGGGGCTAGCAAATAGCATAGATGTTCTCTCTGAAAGCCTTGGCTACAAGCACTTTTATGATGTCAGGGCCATAACATCTAGCAAAGCACCATATATCAAGCAAGGGGGCCCCAACATTTCATCTCCAGTGGGGTGAGGAGAACTGAGGAGGTCAGGTTCTGGCTCAGGTCCATGAAGAGCGGGGGCCCCAGATTGGGGAGTCTGGAAGCATCTGACACTTCTCTTGGTCACAGAGGTCCAATGGACAGATGGGAGTCTTGGGTACTGGGGCCAAGCCAGGAATTAAGATTCTCTCTAGGGGAGGCCCAAGTTATATGACATAAGCCCAAGTTATATGACATAAGCCCAAATGGATACCACCATTTACTTTAGAGTGGACTCAGATGGTTTAATCAATCCTGTAAGACCATGGCTTTTCTTTCATAATCTCTCTACCTGGAGACACAGATAGTAATCATAACTGTGAATGTGAATGGGATGAACTCTCCCATAAAAAGGAAACGGATTGCAGAATGGATTAAAAACCATAATCCTACAATATGTTGTTTACAGGAAACACATTTGAAAAAGAGTGACACATGCAGGGTAAAGGTAAAAGGCTGGAGCAGAATATATTATGCATCAGCTGAGGTAAAAAAAGCAGGGGTAGCAATCCTGATCTCAGACAAAGCAAAAGCAAAAATAGATCTAATCAAAAGAGACAAGGAAGGAAACTACATCCTGCTAAAAGGCACCATAGACAATGACGTAATCTCTCTACCTGGAATGGACCCTATTATGGACAAGAAGTAACCTCTCTTCTACCAAGCGTACCTCAGGTGAGGCCCACAGGCCTTGGCACTGGACCAGAACTTGGATGGATCATCAAGTGGGTAAAGTCACTAAAAGGTGTTCACCACTCACTGGTCTTCCCAAGGCAGTGGCCCAGCCAAGAAAAGAAGCTAAGGTATTTGGCTCCAGGCAATTAGCTGGGAAGCCAACTAACTCCTCTCCTTCCTTGCTTGAGGAGAACGGAGACACTGACCAGCTCTTCTCCTTCCTTACTTGGAAAAGTTAGAAGGTTGTTCATTGTCCGAAGCTGAGGCACTGTCTGGAGCGCTGGCAGCCATACTGCCCATGATTGCTTTCTCCCTGGTAGCAGAGGCAAACCTGAGAAAGGAGGAGAGATAGATGTCAGCACAGAAGGCGGGGCTTCCTCAGGGCACAAAGCTCCACAGCAGCAAAAGTACAAAAGCTTCAACTTAATGGTTCTCTGGAGGTTTAAAGATAACAGTAGCTACCAGGTCACATTAATACCATATCCTTTGTAGGTAACAGGTCCTCTGGGCTTGTTACGAATAGCTTAGGAAGATCCTGCACAGGAACAGTTGAGGCAATGGCTTAACATCCAAGAACCAAAAAAAAAAAAAAAAATGGGGGCATATCTACTCTTCTGGAGCAAACAGGGTTAAGTGACTTGCTCAGGTCACACAGCTAGTAAGTATCTGAGGCTACATTTGAACTCAGGAAGAGGAGTCTTCCTGACCCTGGCCAGGCCAGGTACTCTATCCACTGCAGTGCCACCTAACTGTAGCTAGGCTAACTTCCACCCTAAAAGTAATCCCTCTGCCAATATCTGCAAAGCAGTGGTCATTCAGTGGTTGGATGGGGTCAGAATCCCTCACACATGTATCACACAACCACCTGGAGGAGGACAGGAAGGCATTCAGCTCATGCTGCCCACTAATGAGATTGCCCCACTCCCACTCATCAGCTAGTTTACCAATTTCTGGCAAGCCTTAGGAAAATAGGAAATTAGATTGAGACTTAGGTCCAAGGCCTACCTCTCCCTTGCTTTCTCTATGACCTTAGGAAAGGTGTGGCATCATGGAAAGAGCTCTGGAAAGGACGTTGAAATGTCCATTCTAGTCCCAGCCCTGCCAAAAGTTGGGCCATTGACTAGCCATGTAACCTGGGGCAATCTCTCTGAGACCTCTAGCTTAAAAAAGTATGAGCTGATGGCTGAAGAGAATGCTAGATCTCAGTTGGTGATCCCCTCATAGATGATGCTAAGCTGCTTCATCTCTGGGCCTCAGCTTCCTCCTGTTTTCACCCTGTCTTCTTTATATGGCCTATTTTTGAATCAAATGAGATCATCTCTCCACTAACCTTGAAAAAATGGGCTTTTAGAACTACAGAATAAGTGTAATCCACAAGTGAACTGGAAGCCCTTTGCATAACATCCTCACAAAGTGGTCATCTAGCTTTTGCTTGAAGCCCTCCAGGGAAGGGGAAGCCTACTGCCTCCTGAGGCAGCCCATTCCATTTAAGCACTGGGGAACTTTCACTTACACCAAACCTAGATGGGTATCTCTATAACTTCTACAGTTGCTCTTAATTGTACCTTGTGGGGCCAAGCTGAACGAATCTAAGCACTTAGCATCCCCATGCATATCAAGAGGACATTAACTGAGATGGTTCCTGAGGTCCCTTGACACTATCTGGATGGGGGCATCAGCAATACTTCTAGCTGAGATTCATCTGTCTCCCTGAGGTCCAAGGCAGGTGGGGGAAGGGGACAATTAGCAGAAGGGACCCTTGCATCCCAGCAGCCTACCCCTGCCTGCACCAAGACCCTAGCCTTGGGCTGCTTCTCTCACATGGAAGTGCCAACTCACAGACTCGGAAGGAGCCTTTGGCCTGGGGGGCGTCCTAGCCTCACTTCTACCCATAAGTCTCCATGTGATCCTGGTCAAGTCACTTATATATACCTTCTCTGGACTTCAATTTCATCTTCTGTAAAATGGGGGTTAGCTTAAATGTACTTGAAAGTTCTCAGTAAATAGACTATTCATTGGGTACATGGCAAAATGGATAAGGACTGTTTATAAGAGCGTGCCCCTCCCAAGTCTCAGTTTCCTTATCTGTAAAACATGGGAGTTAGATTAGACAACCTTTAAGGTGTAATGTATTCTATGGGCTGATCAGGTAGACTGGCAGAGTAGAAAGAGTACTAGATTTGAAGCTGGAAAACCTGGTTTGAATCCCACCTCTGCCACAAACTATGTGACCCATGGCAAGTCACTTTCCCTCTCTGGGTCTCAGTTCCCTCTTTTGTAAAAACAGAGAGCTGGAATATATGGTATCCAATACCTATTCTGGCTTTCAGACCAAAGATCCCAAAAGGACAGTATCCTCCTGGAGAAAGAGTCATGCATGAGAAGCCTAGGCCACTTCTGCTACTTACTCCCGAAAAGCTCTGGACAGATCTCTTTTCCTTTCTGGGCCTTAGTCTCCCCATCTATAAAATGGGGAGTGAGGGCGAGGGTGGAACCAGGTGATCTTAATAAATGTTTTTTTCATTCACTCATCTTTCAAGTCCCTTTTTTGATTCGATTCCTAATCTAGGATCCATGAACTTGTTTTTTTTTTAAATAAATAACTTGACAACTGTATTTCAATATAATTTGTCATCCTAGGCTTCATCAGACTGCCACAGGGGGCCAGGGCATCATAACAAAGGTTAAGAAGCCCTGCATCTAAATCCATGATCTCTGCTCAACTCCGATTCTTTTATGAGAAAGGAGTGCCATCTAGTGTCTGGAAGAGTATCTCACACTAGCCTTCTAATTGGCTAATGTAATATGAGAGCAAAAGCACTATTCCCCACCCCCACTCCATTTTGTGATTGCTGCTGGGGGAAGCTGGAGGAATTGTCCAAAGTGGTGGTCCACGGTGGGAGGTGAGGGGGTCCCTTGATATCCTGGAGCCCTGCCTTTAGCACTCAGTCTGTCTATCTGTCTCTCTTTGCCTTTCTCTCTCTCTTACATAGTCAGCAGAGCTAGGCTCATCAGTGCAAAAAAGGACCTCTCATTTCTAACGATGGATTCCTCTCTCAAGGGCAGCATAGTACACAGGAAGTAGTGAGAAAGGAGTATCAGAATATAAGGTTAGGAGACAGAAGTCATTGAGTCTAGTCCCAGTTCTGTCATTTAAGGCTGGGTAAGTCTCTTCCCTTGGACCAGTTTCTTCCCTTCTCTGGGCCTCAGTTTTGCCATCTGTAAAATGAAGGAATTGGACTTCTAGCTCATGATGATGAGTCTGTGGATTACAGTCTATTTGGCTTCTTTCTTGGTCCCAGGACAAAAGAGAAGACGGTGGCTAATGTGGAGGGGAGCCTGTGCCTGGAATGCCTTCCTCTTTTCCCCTTGGCCTCCTTCCTAGACAAAGCCTTTCTTCATCCCCTCAATTCTCCTGTCCTCCTCCTCTCTAACTACTTTGGATTTATTCTGGAGATATTTAAAGAAAACAGATATCTCTCCCAATAGAGCACTGGCTCTTTCAGATAATTTCTTTTGCTTTGTGTTTCATCTAGCACACTATATGGCACACAGGAAGCCTTTGACAAATGCTTGTTGCTTACTTGAGAGGACAAGTGCTAAATGTGGGGGTAGAGACCCAGAGTTCAAAACCAGGTTCTGTTACAGTGGCAACACTGTATTACATGCAGTGACAATGCCATGTGCTGTATTAGGAGTGAGAAGACCTGGGTTCAATTTTCAGCTCTACTACTCACTGCCTGTGCAACCTTGGGTAAATCACCTCCATTCTCTGGCCTTTGGTTTCATTATCTGTAAAATGGAAACTGGGCTATATGACTTCCAAGGTCCCTTCAAGCTATGTATCTATTAAGTAATATGTCTCACATTTGTGTGACTTTGACTAAGTTTTCTTAATCTCTCTGGGCTAGATGACCTCTGAGATCACTTGGAGCTCTACAGAAATGATCCTGTAATCCAAGGCCACATTTCATGTGGCCCTTCCCCTCCAACTGAGGCCAGTCTTGACAAATCCTCCTTGCTTACCTTTGGAGTTTAGATGATGTAGGTTCATCTGAGCTGGCTGAACTTCCATATCTCTTCTCAGTGCTGGTAACAATGGAGGCAGAGGCATACCTGCAACCACAGAAACAAAGAACCTCTGGAATGAAAGGAGTCTTTGGAGACCATGTAGTCTACCCCTCTCACTTTGTCTCAATTTGTACATGGGGAAAACTGAGGCCTACAGAAGAATGACTTGGCCAAAGGCACACAGCTAGGGGGAGGCCAGGCCTAGCATACAGGGTTCCCTCCTCCCCAGACAGTTTCCCCTGCATTGTAGTGCTCTTTGCTAAGAGGGGAGAGGGCCTGCGGATCGCACACTCTATTAGGATGCACAGTCCTAGCATCCAAATTCTTTAGCCCAGTGGCCACTGTGGAAGTGAGTGGGTCCCCACTAATATCTTTTCCTACTTTGTAGTGTTCTTGCTGGGTATGTAGTATTGTAGGTTCACAGAAGGATCGTACTGGTCATCAGGAGAAAACACATCATATTCCTCTGAACCATACCTAATAAAGACAACAAATTATAAGTCACATGCCTTAATGGATGGATCTGAGTTCCCATCAGAGACACTTGGGAGGAGCTGGTGGAAAGCTCCTTGCACTAGAAGGTTTGGATTCTAGTCTAGTATCTACAACTAGTTGACCGTGTAAGTCAAATTTCTTCCCTTCTCAGGGCTATTCCCTTTGGAAAATGAGAGGGTTACATCAGATTGGCAAAATTGATAAAATAGGAAAATGACAAATGTTGGAGGGGCTGTGGGAAAACAGGCACATTGGTGCCCTGTTGGTGGCACATGAATCCTAAATTCTAGCCACTCTGGAAAGTGATTTGGCACTATGCCCTGGAAGTTACTAAACTGTAAACTCTTTGACCAAGTAGTACCACTACTAATTAGGTCTACATTCCAACAAGATAAAAAAGAAGGTTCCATGTGAATGAAGTGAACTGAACCAGAAAAACAATTTAAACTATAAATAACAATGCTGTAAAAATGAAAAATTTGGCAAGATTTAAGAATTCTGATCAATGCAATGATTGACCATAATTCAAGAAGACCTATGAAAAATGGTGCCTACCTCCTGACAGAAGAGGTAATGGACTCAAGATGCAGAATAAGATACACATTTATGGGTATGGTCAATAATTGAAAAAATAATTTAATTACACATTTAAAAAAGAGAAAAATGTAAAAGTAAATGAAGGGGTTAGCTGAGCTGCTGTCTAAGGGCCCTCCTAGCTCTAGCATTCTACTCCAATTCTCCAACTCCTGGAGCCTTTTGAATCAATCAACACCACTGGCTCCCTATTACTTTCACTTTCTTGAAAATACGGACCAGATAGGCTAAAGACAAGGAAACACGCGCCAGGCTGACAAATATTTGATTCCTCTCTGGAAGTTTATTTTGTGCCTTCAAGGCTCTGATTCAGAACAGTTTTTAGCAAAATGTTTCTTAAAGTAAATACCATTGCCAGCTGGTCTCAGATTGCCTTTCATTCCAAGGTACACTCATTTCTAAATATCCTATAGCAAAGTCACCTTCAGATGGCATGAAGTACCACATTCATTTACTGTCTATTTGGCCTGCAGGTCAGGGAGTAGGAGACGACTGGCCATCCTACCTCCTTGGATCTCTAGTCTCCCTAGACCCTAAGTGCCTAAGTGGCTCAGTAACTCAGAACCAAAGCAGGCCTAGCATATCAGCCCAGGCTAGTGTCTGGTGCCATCTAATTGTTTCCCCCTTTTGTCTCCACTTCCATTCACAATTAAAGAGGCAGTTCTGATGTGGTGGGCAAAGAACATTGGAACGGAGTCATTTGCTACTAGATGTGTCAAGGGACATTACATGATGGTTTTCAAAATAAAGGTAAACTATGGATGATGACCTAAGAAAACCATTCAAAATCATTAATGATCATAGAAATGTAAATCAAAACAAGCCTCAAATCCATTAAGTTAGCAAAGGTGCTTAAAAAATGGAAGAACTCATTAATGGAGGGGCTGTGAGAAGAGAGGCATGCTAATTTAGTGTTGGTAGAAGTGTGAATTGGTTCAAACATTCTGGAAAACAATTTGGAATTATCCAAGAAAAGTAAGTATTGGGACTCTATACCCCAAGGAAGTCCTCCCACTCATTTTCCCTCCCCCACTAGAACCTTGGACTCTGTCCTGGGGATAGCAGAGTCTTTTGCTTTTTATTGTCTAGAACCAGGACTTCATGCAACTTCCTGGACATCTCTATACCATACCTCCTTTCCCCTCCATCATTTTCTAGCACCCTGTCATGTGTTGTCTTTCCTCATTAGAATGTAAGCACCTTGAGGGCAGAGACTATCCTGCTTGCTTATATTTATATCCTTAGCACTTATAACAGTGCCTAGCATATAGCTCAGTTCTTAATAAATGCTCCATCCATCTATCCAAGAAAAGTAACTAAAAATACCTTTTGACTCAGATTCTGCTACTAGGACTACATCCCAAGGAGGTTATTGATAATAAAAAAAAAAGACCCACATGTCTAAAAGTCTCATAGCAGCATAATTTGTGATAACAAAAAACTCAAAACAAAATACATGCTCATTAGTTGGCGAATGGCTGGACAACCGAACAAACACCACATAAACTGAGAATTGAACATTGCTACACCATGAAGAATGACAAATGTGAAGAATTCAGGAAAGTGCTACAAGATTTACAAGAAGTGATGCAGAGGGGAGGCAGCCAAGCCCCTTCTCGCCCATTGTCACAATGATCTCAACTACAGAAAGGCCAACATGGAGGACTAACACACTTCAGGTCAAATCCAATGCTCAACTGAGTAGCCTAATACCGAAGCTAAGGGACAGAGAGCCCTCCTTTCCGTTAAGAACTGATCATTTGCTTTTGGTGGTGGGATATACTTTGTAAATTGGTTTGTTTGAATGTTTGGTGGGAAATTATTTTGTTTCTTTTTTCCTTAAATAAAGAACATAGGATTTGGATCAAAAGACCTGTGTTTATTCAAATCCCAGTTCCATGCTTACTAGCTGTGTGATTGTGGGTAAGTCAGTTCTCTGATCTAGTCTCAGTTTTCCTTATCTGTATAATGGTTATAGTATTACCTGCCTTTAGGTAGTTCAAAGAGTTGTTGTGAGGGGCTAGTGGGAGAATGGATACCAAATGATCTGTAAGACATAAGACACTCAAACCATGTGAGTGAGCTAATTTGGATTTAAGGGGCTAACTACTGATGGCTTTCTTAATGGCTGGAGATTGTTTGATCCAAACTCCTCATACCTGAATTAAGGCTCAGAAAAGGAAAATTATTTGTCCAGGCATTCAGGAATTCAATTCAACAAGCATTCATATTAAACACCTGTTATGTGCAAGTCACTGTCCTAGGTGTTAATGATACAAAGACAAAAAGAAAAAAAAAACAGTCTCTTAGGGAGCTAACATTCTAGTTAGTGTCCCAGTCAGGAATAGAGCTAAAGATTCCTGATTACCTATATAGCTGTTAATCTAAAGGAATGAATCTCTAACAGTTGAATATCAGGCACTATGACAAGCCAGGTTTGGGCTAGAATAGTTTTTTAGTTCCTCAAGTTGTACCAGTAATAGCTGTGCCACCAATTGGTTATTACTGGTGAACTGTGGAGAGGACACAGAGGAGAATAACATGGCATGGACAGTCTGGCAGTCTGTGATCTGTATCATTAGCAAGAACTCCCAAATTGATGAGACCCCAGATCACTTAATCATATTGATAATCACATTATAGAATAACATCCTATCTGAGCACAGCTGGCAAGCACATACCATATTCAAGTTGGCACAGGCCCAGAAAGGTTAAGCCAATTTGCCCAGGGTTGGACATCTACTAAATGTCGGAGGAAGAATTTGAACCCAGGCCCTTCTGACTGCAAGTTCAATGACCTTTCTACTACATCCTATGGACTGCTGCTGCCAGGCTCTGCTGATGAAATCCAAATACCTGATTTCCCAGTTTCATTTGGAACGCTACTGATGCCCTACAGCTCACGGACTTCATAATGCATGGGATGACTATAAGTCGTTGCTGCCGCAAATGCCTGGAAGAATGTTTCCTTCAGAACATCATGATGTGTGTACTTCATGGTTAGAAAATAAGAACATCCTCACTGTTCTGCTGTCAATGGACCATGAAGAAAATTGCCACACAGTGATCAAACTGAATGTGAATTTGACTCATTGTAACAAACACTCTGCTATGATGCAATGAAACCAATTACAGTGAAAATAAACACTTTTTTCCCCCTCTAGCTTCTAGTCTTGGCTGTCCGGCAATTATATTGTATGACCTTGAGTAAGTTACTCACCCACTCGTCTTTGTTTCTCCCAGAATAAAATAAGGGCCCTCATGGGTCAGACTCTACTGATCCATGGAGTCCTATGACCCTCTTACCTTGGTTTGTTGGCTTCAAAAAATTGCTGGTTATCAGGGCCCTCATAGCTCTCAGTGCTACTGACATATCGGTCACCATAGCTGAGGGTAGATCTGCATGGGAAGAGAAGCACACTTGAGCCCTTTCAGAAGGACTTGGGTTCAGCTGAAGGAATGCTGAGGCCTGTGCTGAAGAACCAGGATGTGTGGGTTCCATCAGCAGCGTCCACTTAGGCCTGTGGTAGAATCTGCCACACAGCCTGTGGTCCACTGTGGAAGGGTGGAAGCAGACCAAATGAAGGGCCAATGGATTTCTACTGCTTTTGGTCAAAGGCCTTTGCAAAATGTTCCAATGGCTCTTCTTGGGCTAAATCTGTTCTTCTAGGCACCTTCCTGTACCTGGACTGTTTTATCCATCTGCCCCATTTCCTCTGCTATGAATGCTACTATATACTAAGGCCAGCACTCACCAGGAAGAGGTTGAGCTCTGGAGCCACTTACTTTTTCTTAGAGGTAATCTGTATTTCATCCAGATCATTTTGTGAACCACTGGAGCTACGATTACTGTCAGTTGAGCAGGTACTTGACCTGCCAGAAGAAAAGACCCATTAGAAGCTTCAGGACTCTGCCTCTGGTCTCCCCCAAACACAAGTATCCACTGTTAAGACATTAAGCAAGAGAAGTTAGAGATTGAGTTCCTTGTGGTAACACTCATGGGTGTCTGAATTTCCCCATCTGGAAAGTGGGGATCATTCCATACCCAAACTCCAATTCATGTTTGAAATGTCTGGCTCAGCTAAATACAAACATAGAGGAGGGCGGGGGAGAGCATCTAGCCACATGGAAATTGCAAAGCCAAATTTAGCCTCCATATCAAGACAAATTCCTAGCAATTAGAGCTTTCCAAAAGTGGAATGCATGGCCTGGGGAGGTAGTGAGCTCCCCCTCACTGGTGAGGGAAGTGAGGGGGTCTTCAAGCAGAGGTTGGAAACCATTTGTTAAGGCGATAGAGAGGATTGTCAGGAATGAGCTGGATAACATCCTGGGATTCTAGGGGAATAAGTCATGGGATTCTCGCCAATAATTGGGCAATTTGAAATATGATTTGATTGCAAGGCATTTCCTTGCTCCAGGCCCTGGTTTCTCCATCTGTCAAATGAGGGAGCTGGACAAGATTCTGTCTAATGATGGTCTTGGCCAGCTCTGCAATGCTCAGGTTCTCTCACTCCCAAGGTGCAATTTCGTCAAGTGTCATGGGCTAGAGTGGTACCAACCCAGCATTTATTATACACCAAGTGCCAGGCACTGGGCAACAAGGATGAAAGCAAAACAATTCCTGCCTTCGAGTAGCTTGCGGGGGAGAGACAGCATGGACACAGATACCAAACTTGTACGAGATGATGTGGGTAGGAAGGTACCAGCAGTTGGGTATGGCAGGAAAGGCTTCCCAGAGAAGGTAGTATTTGAGCCAAATGCTCTTGGAAGAGACTAAGGATTCTAAGAGGTAGTGGCGAGGAGAGAGTGCATTCCAGGCAAGAGGGATAGACAACCAGTGCAAAAAACCCCCAACAAAAACACAACAAAAATAGAAAAACAGGAAATGGAGTGCCATGGATTAGGAACAGCAAGAAGGCTGGTGGGAATGTGCTGTAATGTGCGTGAAGGGAAGTAATGATTAATAAGGCCAAGAAGGTAGGTTGTGGCCAGATTGTTAAGGGCTTTAAATGCAAAAAAGAGTTCATATTTGCCCCTAGTGGTAATAAGGAGCCAGTGGAGTTTCTTGAGTAAAGGAGTGACAAAGAGCTGAGCTTTAGGAAAATCACCTTGGTTGCTATGTGGTAGATGGATTGAAGTAGAAAGAGATTTGAGGCAGGGAGACCAGGCAAGAGATGAGAGCCTTAACTAGGGTTGTGGCAGGTGGAAATGGCAGCTTGGACAACTGACTGGACACGAGGGGCGAGGGAGAGTGGAGTCGAAGGTGACGTCCATGACGTAGGCTTGGGTGACAGGGGAGAGTTTTTGGGGAAAGGTAACAGGTTGTCTTTTGGACAGGTTGAGTTTCAGAGGTCTACGGACTGGAGGCCAGGAAAGAAGTTAGGGCTAGATAAAGAGGATCATCTGCTTTGAGATGATAACAAAAGTCGTGGGAACTGATGAGGTTACCAAGTGAGAAAGAGTAGACAGAGGAAGATGAGGAACCAGAGCAGAGCCTTGGGGAACACCCAGAGTGAGGGATGGGATACAGAGGCTGAGCCAGCCAGGAAGCCCAAGAAGGTGTTGGAACACTCATTTCTCCAGTGAACCCAAATGTGCCATTGAAGCCCAACTCTCAATGGACAGTTTCCTTCACTTCTGTAAGGAATGGGGCAGGAGCAAGGGGCATGGTGTGGAGGAGCCCTGAAGCTGCGTATAAATTCAGGATAACCTAGAAGAGTCCAGGGATGCCCCCTAGGTCTTGGTATCTGTTGGCATCGGGATACAGGTCTTTCTCTTCTTCTCTGGGAATGTTCCTTCTAGTGCTGGAAATGTTCCTTTCCTTATATGCCAAGAAAGCTCTAGAGAGGAGACAAGTGGCTTTCTTTAAGGAAAGAGGCTGCTACTATCCCATGAACAACGAACCTTCTCCAAGGAACTCCAAGGAGCTCCTCTCAGATTTGTTTAAAGCCTTTGTTTTGAGGTTCTAGTCATCTCCTACTCCCTCCCACCCCCGTGTGAGAGTGTACTTACACACATGCATGTGGGCATGTAACAAACAGTACCACTGAAGTCCAGGACACAGTCTGGCAGCATATACCTCATTCCACACCTGCAATGTGTTTACCACAGATCTTTTCAAATAAGTCTCAATGATCCTCACAGACAAGAATCTGCTCTGTCAGAGGAGCCGGGCCTTTTCCACTCTACCTCTATTGCCTTTTAGGAAAAAAAATGGCTAATGTACTTGAAAGTGATGGCTTCATTGAGAATCTCCCAGGCCAGGGAGTCTGACCTGCTACAGGAACATAATTCTGTGCTGCTAGGTCTCTCTCACCACCCATGGGGCAGAGGGACCATAAGAGAAACATACACCAGGACCTGGATGAATTTAACTGTCTCTTTTCCTGATAAAACACTCCCCATTCTTCCATATGCACTGGCACACACTCATGTGTGTGTACCCACAAGGCAAGGAAGGGCAATGGTTAGCAGCAAAATGGCAGAAATGCAGGATGCATGTTAGGGGACAGAGATGAGCCCCTGATGGGCTCTCTGGTTCCTTTATGACTGCCAGCTCACATCCTCCATCCAATCACCACCAATTTACCTCTTCCCACTGCTGTCTAGGGAAAGCTCAAGAAGAGAGGATTCCAGTTTTGGGTCATGGCCCACTGCAGTGTGAGTTTCTTCTTTCTTTCTACTAAGGAAGGAAAAAGAAAGTGTGATTCAATCCCCCTTCATTCTACCACAAATTATGAATCACCAGGGACCACAGAACATAGATTCAGAACTGGAAGGGACCTCAGAGGTCACAAAGGACCCATAAAGTTCTAAGGAGATAAAAGACTTACCCAAGATCATACAGGAAATAAGAGTCAGAGCTAGGATTCACACCCAGGTCTTTGGCCTCTAAATCCCATACTTTTTCCATCGCACCCATGTGTCTTTCCACTCTTTGCTTTGGGGCTAGATGAAAACATGGTACGGGCAAAAGAATGGGTCTAGAATCAGAGGACCTGAGTTCATATACTGCCTCTGATTCTTTTATCACTTGTGTAGCTTTGGGAAAGTTGCTTCATCACCCTAGGCCTTATTTCCTCCTCTGGACTAGATGATCTCCACAGTTTCTTCCAGCTGTCTGGATCTCTGATTCCAGAATTTCTGGTTATTCTTGACTTGTTCCACACCTACCTCATGTCAAGGATAGCTTTGGTCAATCAACTCTATTTTTTCCAGACTAGCTTTTCAAAAATGTTCCTTCTCAAGTGTGGGCCCAAGTGGTTGCTCTGATCAAAATACTAGAGAGAAGTCAGAGCTGCCATTAAGGCAGTAGAAAATCCAGTTGCTTCTCTATTTCTCTTCCTGTGAAAACCACTCATCAGTAAAGGGAGTGCTAGGTTTGAAGTCAGAGGAACCTGGGTTTAAATCATGGTGTTGCCTGGTTTAGCTCCATGACCTTGAATAAGTCATTTCCCTTCTCTGAGCCTCAGTTTCCTCATCTGTAAAATGGGAATAAGAATATCTATACTACAAACCTTCTGGGATTGGCTTTGTAAATTCTTAAGTGAGAGTCATTTCTGTTTATTCTCATTGGCCCTTCTCACACTGTAGTTCTACTGTCTTTTAAAAAAAAAGGATAATAATGATGGTAATCAGAACCCCCCCCCAAGCTACTCCAATTACTCCTTTGTTTTATAGGCACACTTCACTCCAGACAATCAATTTGTTGCGGAGATTTGTGCATTAGTCAGATTTTTGTAAAATGAATCATAGCTCCTCATTAATATTGGTTACCATTACAGAAGAAATAGAAAAAAAACCCCAACCTTTGAGAGGCACATCTTTGCCAGCAGATACCTTTCCAATAAAACAGTAGTAATGATAAGACTAAGAAGTCAAGGGGGCAGCTAGGTGGTGCTGCAGTGGATAGCGTATCGGCCCTGAAGCCAGGAGGACTTGAGTTCAAATGTAACCTCAGACACTTGACAATTACTGGCTGTGTGACCCTGGGCAAGTCACTTAACCCCAAATGCCTAAAATTTTTTTTTAAATGTCAAAAAAAAAGAGAAGTCAAACATTTTACTGTAACTACTGCATAGGGCCAGAGGTGTCCAGCATCTGCAATCACTAGGGAGATTGGGGGAACTTTCAAGAGCCCTCATCCTCCCAGAGAACAGTCAGCTGTTTTCCCCTAGACACATGACCACAGGGCTGTTCTGAACAACTCAACTTCCCAGTTTCAGAGACTAGGCTGCCTAAAGGTGGTATTTGCAAGCATCCATACAATGAGGATTCCCTGTGTTTTCCTGATGGTGAAGATTCTCAGGACTTGGGTAGGGGAGGAGAGTGTCAGCCAGAGAAAGAATGCACCTGCCCAATCTTTGATTACAGACAATCAGTTCTTTAGGAGAGCCCAATAGATTGGTAGGTGGGTCCCCCAGCCATCTGTGGCTTGTTTGAAATGGGGGCCTCTTGTTCCCTCTCTGGCCTAGGTCCCCATCATATTTTCAAAGTGACTCTGACAAGATGGAGGACCTCCAGAGGAGGTTGACAAGGATAAGGGAGGGGACCAGAAGCCCAATCATAGGAGATCCTGTTGAAGGGTTAGAGGATGGCTAACTTGGAGAAGGGAAAACCTTTTCTTCAAACTTTCTACTTGGCCTCGGGAAGGCAGAATTAGACTGAACTGGTGGAAGTTCCCGGGGAGTGAATTTCAGCTCAACATAGGGTACAGCTGCTTGGCCATTAGAATTGTTCTCCAAAGGAGCAGGCTGTTTTATAGAACGGTGATGTGCCCATCCCTGTGATTATTTTAACAGAGGCTGAATGACCACTTATTAAGAATGTGGTAGAAGAGATTTTGGCATTAGGAAGCTAGACTAAATCACTTCAAAAGTCCCATAGAATTCTGAGATTCTATGATGCTCAAAACCCCACCCCTCTTTTCAGAATCACTACCAAGATAGTCTAAATCTTAGAAGTAGGCAGGTAGAAGGGAAGAATGAGCCTTTCTCAAGACAGAGGCACACAGACATTGAATTGGGAGTCAGGAAACATCATTCCAGTCCTACCTTGGCCCCCAACTAGCTATGTGATCTTAAACAGCCATTACCCTTCTCTGGGTGTCAGTTTTTCACTCTATCATATAATGTAGGCCTGCCTCTGGCTCAGCCACTTCTACCTACTACTATCTGAATCTAGAGACAGTATTCTATCTCTATGGCAACAGCTCAACAGTAGCTGCTGGGACTTATCAGGTGACCGCAGCTCAATGAAAACATCTATTGAGCCCACCCGAATCCCTTTGCTCTGATTCTTTCCTTGTCACGTAGCCGCCAGGTTTTAATGTGGCTTCCCTGCTGGGGTGAGAACAGGCTGGCCACCCGACAAGAACATCTTGGTCTGCTTGGCAATTACGCTTATTTTTGGAAATGAATAAATTGGCTTTCTGGACCACATCAGCCATATCTGAGTCATTTCCCCAGAGCCTGATCCTTAGCAGGGGAGCTCAAGAAATTAAGTCTCTCTGCCTATCATGCTGAGGGGCCAGCTTCTGCACTAAAGATGATCTTACCAGGGGTCCAACAGACCTGGTTAAACTTTCCTCACCACTATCACCCCTTTGTGGGACTCTCCTATCTTGTTCCCCTTCTTGTTTTTTTTTCTTTTTTTCTACATGAGGGTGGGTGAGGGTAAAGGAACATGTTTGTGTATATGTATGTGGGTAGATGAAGGGAGGGGGCTGTTAGGACAACATATGGGGCTGTGAGTACATAAGGGTGTATGTGTGTACAAGGGGGGTTGGGGAGGGTCAGAAGAGCCACAGGAGTGAGGGGAATAGGAGAAATATGCCATATATAAATGTATGCCTGTTTAAGCATGTGGAGGCAACACACGGCTAGAGAATTTAAGGGGAAGGGAGAGTGATTACTATTGCTGGTAGATGTAAGCCAACCACTGTTTAGGTGTGGCAATAGTAAGCGACCCTAGTAAGCCTTTATTATGTGGGGGGAAGCAGCTACGTGAGGAAGCCAGTCTTCCCTTTTTAAAATGTTTTGGTTGCACTTGACCAGTGAGCTGACCTTCTGGGAAGGCAGCGGGACAATTGTGGTGCTTCTGGCTTTCCCCTACCCCCACTCCTCCCAGACACCTTGTATGCTATGATTGTGCTTGTTACCCAGAGGTAGGATCAGCTCACCACAAGGGTGAATCTGCAGTGACATGGTAGCTTAGATTCAGTCTAGCTTCATATCTCCAAAGGGGATCAATGGAAGATCCTGGCCTGGTCCCCTTGAGTCCTATTTGGGGACCTCTGGTGTTAACAGTTCTACCAGCATAGATGTGTATAAACCTTCACCTTTCTTCTGGAACCCTGGAAGGGTATGCTATCAACTATCCAGAGGCTTAGGAAATAGCCGTGTGAATGGCAGACTGTACCTTCTAGGCTGGGGCCCCAGCAAGGGCGGTCTACTTATATTAGAGTGACTGTCCTTGCAGTGCCACTCATTGTGAAAGCGGGCAGCAGTCCCCTTCCCCTAAGCCACCTACAGTCCCACTACCTGGCCTTAAATGGATTTCATGGCCAACACTGAAACCATGGCCTCTACTTTTTGACAGATTAAGTACAGGTAGCCCTTAGAAGGGGCCCCTTGGGAATGGGCAGCTCCTCTCATGGAGGATGGAAGCCACCCAATGGGGAGCTTTCAGCAGTATAAGGTGGGCTCCTGGATGGTTTGAGGCTAGCCCCATCACAGCAGAAGGGATATCATTGCAAGAAGACATGAATGGTGTGGTATTAACCTATAACCTGATCTAGTATTGGCAGGGGAGATGGGTCATCTAGGTCAGGCTCTTCATGGATAGCATCTGAGCAGGAATAGCTTGGCCAGAGCAGCCCAACCTTAATCAGAGCTCAGGTCGGCCTTGAAATTGGGCCACAGAGGTGAGTTGGAGCCTCAAGTCAAGGAACGTGGAGCCAGCAGCCAATGAATAGCCTCCTGTCTGAGAACATGGATGGCCAGGAAACCTAGGGGTGGGGTGGGGGAAGAGCTCCTGGCAGCCAAGCCTTTTAAGCCTAAGTACCCGGCCTGGGTTGAAGAGGCTCAGGACAAGAAGGTACAATTTGGTCCTCTGACCCCCACCCTTGGCAGAACCTACAAGGGACAAGGAGGAATAATGAGGGCTCAGAATGGCCATGGGCATCAATCAGAGGACAGAGACCAAGATGTGTAGGAGGAGGGTACAGGAAGTCCTCGATGCAGGAGCATACCTATGACACCATGTCCTGCTCTCAAAGTTGGTGAACCTGGGAACAGTGGGCGGCCTACAATAACAACTGTATTTGTAGCCATACTGTACTGGACATGCTTCGTCTTCTTTGATCCCTTCAATCACTCTGGGAGGGAGAGGAAGGTACTATGGGCATTACTGCTCTCATTTTAGATGCAGAGAAACAGAATGGTGCCTTTACCTGTACTCTTGAACTCTGGCAGATGAAAAGAAACTCCTGGACACATTTCCAGTCCAAGCTGAGGAGCCTGCTTTCTCTCTGCTAGAATCAGAACTGTGTGTGAGAGAGAGAGAGAGAGAGAGAGCAGAATCAGACCCCCTTAACAAGCCCACATGCATATGCTGCTGGAGCTGGGGCTGTTAGGAGCCTGGCTGGCCCCTAAACCATCGGGAGGTGGAGAGGAGGGCCCAGAGGTCAGGAGTAGGAAGAGACAAAGAAACCTCTCTAGAAAACTGGAGACAGCTCTGCAAGGAAGGGCCACGAGAGAGGGGAAAGTCTTTTTGAAAATTATTTTTCATTTCAATTTTTCTTTTTCATTATGAATTTAGCAAACACCAACAAACACCAACATTTCGATGTACAAAGAACAAATGAAGAGAAATGCATAAGTTGTAAACTACTCTTGTGTACAGATTTTCTTTAAGTGTACAATAAAGTTAATGCAATGGTAGCAAAACTGCCAGAGAAGGTCGAAGATTCAAGAAGAATTTAGTAAAGCCTCTCCTCTTGGGTGGGTATGGAGGTGAAAGAGGAGGCCCATCTGCTCTCAGATCTTAGACTATCAGGGGAGAGGAGACATGTTCTCAAACCAGGAGGCTGGGTTTAGAGATAGAGGACCTGGAGGTAAATCCAGGATGGCCCTGAATGAGGCATCTAACCTCTCTAAGTTTCAGTGTCCTCATCTGCAAAATGAGAGGATGGGCAAGACACAGCTCTAAAGGCATGAACGCACATTTCCCACCCCAGCCTTGTGATTTCATAGGTGTAGGAAGCACCCATAGAGGGCACCCACTCTACCAAAGCAGGTCTGCACTTTACAACTTCTCGTCTTTGAGAGCCACCTGGATCACTGAGAAGTGACATGTCTTGGGCAGGGGCAGCTAGAATGTGGCAGGCAAGGATGGGCCTCGTGCCCTGGATTTTCAGACTCCAAAGCCTGCTCTCTATCCCCCAGGCTATGCTACCTCTCATAAACTAGATGACAGGTGCGAGAAAATGATTCAGTGCATAGGAGAGGTCAGCCAGAAGGGCCTGAATGTTGAGGGTCTCCTGAAGTGTTCCCCTCTCCCCTGCCATGCTCTACTCTGGAGAGTGGAGACCTAAGGCTGCTGCCTCAGCAAGAGATGGAAGGACAGCCCTCTTTAGCCCATTGCTTTTAGGGAAACTGAGGCTGTCAGGGGAGGTCAGGGCAAAGTGTATACCAAAACAATGGGAAACAGCTACCTGGTGAAGCCGAAAATCTGTCTTGCCAAAGATGGCAGGGTCTGACTTCTCTCAGGAGGGACTTCATCCTCTTCGACTTCAACCCTTTAAGGCAGTAATACAAAGGTACTCTGAGTAAGAGATACAAGGGGTCACTGTGCCAGACACCTCTCTCATTTACTCAGCCTCTTCTCTTTTACAGTAGAAGACCAAGCCAAAAGCAGCTTCACATTCCATTCTGAGCTCTCAGAAGGTTCCCTCTTCCTTCTTAGCATACTCCCCTTGGATGGGGAACAGGCTGTTCTGAGCTCCCCATGCTGGGCAGCTTCATGTCCTCTAGGAACTCAAGGCTTAGGTGATTCTGTCCCAGGGGCCAAAAGGGAGAGGGACTCACTCACGGCCATCACCCCACCCCCACCAAGGGCTATAGCTGAAGGCGTCCTCTTCCAACTATCTGCTTCAAGACTGCTCCCAGCCTGTGGAGGTGACTTTCTAGCCTCTCCTCCCCCAAAACAAGAGGTGTGCCTGTTTGGTGCAGAAAACTCCAAAGCTAGCTCTCATTTCCTTTAAGGTTTTGTAAAGCCCGTTAGAGACATTATTCAATCAGTCAGTAAGCATTTATGACACCTTTACTATGTGCTTATTCCCCTAAGGTAGGTGCTATTATGAGCTCCATTTTAAAGGTGAGGAAACCGAGATTTAGAGAGTAGGATCACAAAGACTGACCAGAGTCTGAGGCAAGCTTCCTGACTCCGAGGCCAGAGATTTATCTACCACAACACCCTTCCTTCCCAGGAGAAAAAAATATTTTCTGAAAAAGCAAAATGTTTGATGATTCCTTCATTCAAGTACCTGCGAATCTTTGGTCAAAAGATGTAGCACCTCCACTTTTTTCCATGGGCAGGGGAACTTAGGGCACGCTTTTTTCCGTGGACAAAAGTAAAGGGAACTCAGATCTGTCTGTGACTTCCAGCACTACAGGCTTAGCCTGTCTGGGATAAGGGCTCTAGGCCTGCCTCCTGAGGCTCTCCTAGGCTGGCAGTGAAACCACCCAAGCAGCAGCTCCCACTCTCCCTGGGCCCTCTCTGCTCCAGGAGAGTCCAATGCCTTCTCCTCTCCTGGACCACCCCACCAGCAGGGGAGGAGAGCCCAGGCACAGAACTGCTAGAAACCCTCCTCTAGAGCCTTACGTCTCTGCCATAACTGGAGGTGCTACATCCTGAGTGGAACTCTTGGAAGGTGGACAGAAAGACGCCACCTGAGCTGCCGGCCTGTAGGATATAATAAATAAAATAAAGGATGTGACCCAAGACTGACACATTAAGTATCAGATCAAATTCAAATGCTTTATAACCATGCTCCCTTTAAGCCACCTCCATCCCACCTCCCAGTCTCCACCCCCTGGCCCCTTTCCTGCTCCTGCCCCAGCCCAAGGCATATAGCCCACACCTCCCTCTCCCCACTTCTCCTGGGACACGCACTCACATTGCGCTTTTCTTGGCATCAGATAGCACAGAGGAGCGCTCCCAGGTGGCAGACCTCTGAAACACGTTGCAGGAAGCTTCGGCCCTAGAAGGGCAGGGAATGGGAAGGGAAGAACCAGAGAGGAGATCAAAGGCCAGTGCTCTGAGCATATCTCCCTCCCCCCAAACACTCTCCCATGGGGACACATGGCAGGTTCTGCCAACCTGCCCACCTGGCTTCTGGCTGAAGTCTGTTTGACTTTCGGGCAGCTTAGGCTACTGAGTGGCTTGTATGAAAGAGAAGGGGGTCCTGATATGCAACTCAGCCCACCTCTGTTTCAATGAGGCAAGCAGGAAGAAGGGGTCCCTCACCATTATAACTTGTTAAGAGTTCAGTTCTTCCTGAGGGAGAACAGTGCGGGCTATCCCCACAACTCGAGTTCAAATAGGCCTTTCAGGATCACTTCTGCCCTTCCAACCATCACCATACTGGGCAGGGAGTGCAGAGATTGTTACAGACAAGGAAATTGAAGCTAAGAGAAGTGAGATGACTGGCCTCTGACCAACACAGCTAAGAACAGAAACCTAGGCTCACTCCTAGGGCTTTACATTCCCAATCCAGAAATTCTTTTCCACCACACCGAGTTACCTCTCAATCATATTCATGTCTGAATAAAATCAGCCTCATTAGCTGGGAAATTGTTTAGGGGAATGGGAAATGAGAAGGGAGAACAAGAGATCCTGTATAGAGGACCCCCCCCGGCCATTGTCCAGATCTTCCCTTTCCATTATCTCTCTCATGTTTATACACTAGTGATACAATGGGTGGGGTGAACCTCACCAGATCTGAAGTCAGAAGACCTGGGGTTAAATCTCATTCTTTCCTTTTACCTTGGACATTTGCTCCCCAAACATGTTTCTTCATCTGTAAAATGAGGGGGGTCAGACTAGACGATTTCCAAGCCCTAAATCTAAGTATCTGGGAGATCTGACAAGTTTTTTAACTGGACTGTGATTTCATTAGCATAGGGTACTCTTAGTGAGTAAACAGCCTCTCCCAATGCAGGCTGGCACCTACTGGGCACTTTCCAGACTTGAAGTGTTTGCCTCTTGGATACCATTGGCATTTGAGATTCCCTAGAATGGATCCCTCCTGCATACAGCAGGGGCTTCTTCTAATTCACTTTACACCAAGCGTATGGACGTGGTAGGGGATCAGACCAAGGAGATCATAAGAATCTCAGCCCTCTCAATAAAGTCAAACAGGTCCTGTAGCTAACTAGAGGTGGAACATTCAGAAGACAGCTGGCAATAATGGAAGCTGAGAGCTTGAGGGGGTTTGGCATACCAGCCAGTCCTCCTAGTTTTACAGACGAGCAAGGTGAGGCCTGGGGGGAGGGCGTTGGGGTGACTTGCCCAAGGTCACACAGGTGAGTAGGTAGGAGTGCCATGATACAAAGCTGAGCTTCGCAGGTGTCACTCCCAGTATCCCAAGTCCACCATACCATCTGCCACCTGGCTAAGGAAAATCTCACCCTGCCCATCCCAAGATGGGGCACTAGGAGGCACGATGCCCAATGGTACTAAAGTGGAATTTCCTGGGCCCCTCCTCCAACCTTTCTAGTCATTGTACCTTCTTCACTGCTCATCAACAGGAAAAGCTAAGGCACTACCATCCCCATACATGGGGCTGTGTCTGATATGGCAGGGCACTCTAAATGAGAAAAAAAAAGGCTGTTTTGGATGGCAGTCCCAAACTCTCTGGATTCCAAACTGCTCTGCCTGGGATTCAAGGCCTTCTGTAAACTGTACCTTGCCTTACAGAACCAGATTTATTTGACCTACTCATAAACTGATCATAGATAATGATGATGATGATGATAGCTAACATTTATAAAGTGCTTACCATGTGCCAGGCACTGTGCTTTACAATTATTATCTCATTTGATTCTCACAACAATCCTGTGAGGGAGGTACTATTATTATACCCTTTTTACAGATGAGAAAACTGAGGCAAACAGAAGTTAGGTCAGGGTCCAAGCATGGTCCTTTGACTGAATCCAAACTTCACAGAACTTACATCTTCTTCTTGTACTCCTCAGAAGCGACTTTGTAGGCAGAGGGTGAGGTCCGGGGCAGGTTGGCAGTGACAGGTTTTGCTGGAACCGTAGGTCTGGAAAAGAAAAGCAAACTCAGTCTGCACCCCATTGCCGCTGGCCCGTGGAGCTGTCCAGGGTCCCAAATATCTGAAAGTTTGGTTTATCAGATCCATAGATGGAACTGAGACAGTCTCTCCCTACTTACTCTTTCCTTTCAGACTCGGTCAGGCTCATGGAGGAGAATGCTAACAATAAGGCTCTCAGCTTAGCCTTTTGCAGATGGAGGTCCTGGGGTTCCCTTGAGCCCAGGGGGTGGGGTGCAGGGCTGCTGGAATGCATATTGAAAGCTCTTTCCTGAAGACTAAGTATGAGATGACTCTCTAGCCAGACCCATTTTGGAGGCACTTTGTAACCATACAGTGCTATAGAAACATGAATTATTCTGCTTATGGCTCCGCTGATGTGCTTCAGGGAGGATATGTGGCTCGCTGGGCTGGAGCTTCAAGCTTCTGCAGGCCTGAGCAATAGAGATAAGGTAGCCTGTTTTCTGGGGACCAGCCTTAGCCACGTTTGCACAGGCTCATCACCAGGAGGATAGCTGCTAGAGGAGGAACTGGATAGGCCCCAATAACTCAGGAATCCATCAAATAAGTCATTTGTATGTGTTGTGGGGGGAAAGATATCAGCACCAGTGAAGGGAGTATCTACCTTCTCTGTGAAGTTTCTATGTGAAGCCCTTTGGAAATCTTAGGCTAGATATCAACTGTTAATATAGACATTATAAGGATGCTGTGAGGATTAAAACAGAAACCTATAAAATGCTCAGAAGAGGATGCTGGATACAAGGAAGTGTTCCAGACTGAGCTCCAGCATCTAGCACAGTGCTAAGCACTCACACAGTAAGTGCTTAATAAATGCTTGTTGGCCACCTGACTGATTGAGCTCCTCACAGCAATAGCCAGCAATGCCACCATCTGCATCATCTTTCCTCTGACTGGATCAGTTCTGGCCAGAAGGAGGACTAGCTGCTACCAGTACCCACCCTTCACTGTTATAACAAGAGAGATGCCCAACTATAGTTTTGTAAGTCTCAGAGTGTCTCCAAATCTATCTCAAGCCTATGTGTGTGAAGAGGAGGGGGTGAAGAGGGAAGTTGGCTGCCTAATTCTTAAAATACAATTAATATGACTCCACTTAAATTCATCTGTAAAGATTTACCACAGCTCAGCACTAGTCAACTCCACCCAAGGAGCCATTGGCTGCTTCTTCTCCCTTCCCCCCCCCCAATCTATACTTAACAGTTGCTGGCTGAACTGGGAAACACCCCTTGGTAAGGCACACAGAAGACCATGCTGGCCATGGGCAGCAAGACTATGTGGTACTCATAGTATATGTTTTTTGATGAGGCTTCTACTGCCTCCCACCAGACCAACCTTTTGGGGGGTTCGGAAGTAGCCGAGTAGCGAGTCTGTGGCACACTTGTGCTGTCAGTGGGCTTGGTGAATATGCCCCTGTATGAATCCAAGAAGGAGATATCTCATTAGTGCCTAAAATGACTTAGAGTAGGTGGCAGAAGAAATCCATTGAAGAGCACAGCTGACATGATCCTGGAGGTGAGCTGGGATAAGTTTACCAGAGAGGTGAAGCCACTCCTTACAGGGGTGGTAAGCAGGCCTGACCATGCACCAGGATTCTAGAGAGGGCATCTCTTCAAGTTTGACCAAGCTCATCTCACACTCATTGACAGAGACCCTTCTTTCCTATGGCATGGCATTTTGCCTGGCTAGAGTCAATCTCATGGCCCCCTGGCTGTCACACTGTACCCTGGGGAGATGGCAGGTCCATCTGGATCCCTCCATCTCAGGGATACCTGGGCCATATTCACTACCCTAGAAAGTGTCTGCTGAGGCCTCAGGTCATAGCATAGTCTCTTCCTGACTGGCAACCTTGCTTCCAACTCTGGTTTTATTAGAAGTTTACTTTCTAGGCCTTGAAGGAGCCTTCTGAGGCCCTCTCAGGCAGACCGTTCTGCAATGGGCCTACTGCAGACAAGACCCCAAGCCATGTGGTGAGTACTACTTTCTTCTAAAGCTCCAAATGCACTTCCTCAGGGTCAGTTACACCAAATTTGACCCTGTCATTTCCTTTGCCTAAAAATCCCAGGTGGGAGATAACGAATGATCTTGCTAAGTATGCTATCAGCCTCTAGGCTAGAGTCCATCACTAGCCTTGGCAAACACCCAGAGCCCCACCAGTCCCCTACTATTTCCAGTTCCCCTGCCTGTTAACACCCACCTGATAATGTAGCCTGATGAAGGTTTGGGAGCTGGAGGCCTGCATGGGGAGAAAAAACAAGTTAGGAGCTGCCAGTTTCAACTGCACCAGGGAGGCCGGGCAAGGACGGTTAAAGGTCCTAAAGGAGAAGGGCCATGAAGGCAGCCAGGGCAAGGGTGTAAGCCCTGTCCCGTAGCCTGTACCAGCCTTGTTCCAGCACTGCTTATTGGGGCAGTGACCCTGCCTTCCCAAGAAGGGAAAGCGATGACTGGGAGGCAGCCTGGCACCATGGGAACAGACAGTGCCAGACTGGGAGTCAGAGGATTGATCATCTGGGAGGTCTTGGGCAATCACTAGTCTGCTCTGGGCCTCAGTTTCCTCCTTTGTAAAATCAAGGGAGTTGCTAAACAAAGTCAAACTGTATATAACAGTTAATTTCTGGTACTAGCTTCTTTCTCATTCTTTTCAGGTTGAAACATTTTTGTTTGTTGGTGATTGGTAAGTTCACGATAAAAAAGAAAATCTTTTTTTTTTTTAAGAGCCTGGCTCCTTTCATTTTTCCCACTGATAATATTTTGTGAGCCTGGATCACAACAACATTCATATAGATGTCATAGTATTAGAGAATGAGGCGGCTTAGAAAATTAGAGGTGGCAGGGGCCTCATTTAGTCCAGCTCCCTCATTTTAAAGAGGAGGAAAACAAGGTTCAGAGAAAGGAAGGGGAAGGGAAGAGAATACGCATTTATATAGCACTTACTACATGCCAACACCACTGTGCTAAGAACTTTTTAAAAAAACAAATATTATGTCATTTGATCCTAGGTTACTATTATCCCCATTTTACAGTTGAAAAACTGGGGCAAATGGAGGTGAAATGACTTGCCCAGGATCATGCAGCTAGTTAAATGTCTGAAGCCATATTTGAACTCCGGGTTTCCTGGCTCCAGGCTCGGTTCTCTGTCCACTGAGACCCCACTGCCTCAAGAGAAGTGACTTGCTCACAGTCAAATAGCTACCAAGTAACAGAGTGGATTGGAAGCTAGGTCCTGGGCCTCCCAATCCACTTTGCTGCAGCTATTTAACTCCAGGGGAGTTGTATTTTCTTTCACATGGATATTTCCTTTGTCTTTGTAGACCAGGAGTGTGTAGCAGGCTGCCCTCTGACTAATGTGGCCAGATTAAAATGTAATTGAGAAATGGTTAACAAAAGAAAGCAAACTTACAGTAGAACATACAGAATGGTCGTTTTCCAAGTCAGTATGTAGCCTGCAGGGGACCCTGATACAGGTTTAGTGGCCCCTATTTCTATTTGAGTTTGACCCTAATGGTGCAGAACATAACTGAGCTGGGATTTTTGCTCCCAGAGATTCTCATTCACGCTGTGCCCTCGATCTTCCATAGAGGATCCAACCAACATACTGGAGGCCCTTTTTTTTTTTGGCTTCTCTTTACATTTTGAGAACAACCCATGGGGCTCTTGGGCTGTGTTTTCTCACTCTGGACTTGCAGTCAGAGGGTCCCCCCTCGCCCCCGAGGCCTATGCTAAGGGAAAGCCTTTGGAGCTGGTCCCTGACACAGGCAGTGGGACATAGTGGCAAGCTTACTGAGCTTGGAGTAAGGCCAGCCATGTGCTATGTACTCTTGGACAAGCCCCTTCCCCTCTCTGAGCCTGGGCTTCCCTCAGTGCAAAGAGTACTAGCTCTAGAGTAGAGGACCTGAGTTCCAACAAGAACTTGTGTGGCCTTGGACAAGTCCCTCAATCTCTCCCCCTTGCTCTTCCTCACCCAGAGGATAATGGCTTTGGACTACATGGTCTTTGAGGTCCCTTCCACCCCTAGTTTTCTGATCCTTTGAAAATAAAGGAAGTGGGTAGACTCCTACGTTTTTTCCAGCCCCAATATCTATGACACTGCAAAACAGAAGGATCCCCCGTGTGTGCGTCCATTAGCTAACTCTGGGTGCCTGCTGTTCCTAACTCGAAGGAAAGTCAGAGTATAACATCCATATGTCAGGAGATTCTCAAGATTTACAGATGCTGCCCCTAGTTAACAACCATTTGTTCGACTCTCTCCCAAGGAGCTCTAAACACTTCAAAGACATCACTGTCAGGACGCCTTGCAGGACAGCATCCTTACTCCCGGTTTGTAACTGGCATGCATCATGTGCGCCACCAAGAGGCTGCAGGGCCTCACTTAGTAAGAAGGCTGACTCTCAGGAATGTGTATGGATGGGGGTCTCTATGGTTTTCAAAGCACTTTTATATACCTCCTCATTTGATCTATATAAAGTAGGGAATGAATGAATGAATGAATGAATGAGAAAGCATTTACTAAGTGCTTACTATGTACTGTGCTAAATGCTGTGGATACAAAAAGAAAAAGCAAGACAATTTCTGTTCTCCAGGAACTCATATTCCAATAGGGGAAACAACACATAAAAAAGGGCTTGGCCTCAGGGCGCATAGAAAGGCCTGAAACTCTGATAGGTTCATTAGCAGGGCAGATGGCAAGGTCCAGGAGTTCTTAGCATGCCTCAGTCGGTCAGATGACAGGGCCCAGGCATCTGGGCATAGAGACCTCCAATTTTACAAACGAGGAAAACTGAGGCCCAAAGAAGGGAGAGTGAGTTGCCCAAGATCCCACAGCTACTAAATGGCAGAGCCAATTCTTTACCCTAGGTCTTCTGACATGCGCAATTTCCCCTTTATACAGCCCACCTCCCTTTCAAAGATAGGGCAGCAGACATGGGTGAAAAGAGAAAACCTTCTCCCTAGCATGGAATATCCTACACTGTCTATGATCATTGACCGATCAAGCCCATTATTCTGGTTCTAACAATGGCAGGAAGGGACTGACTATGTTCCAGTGAGTGAGAATCTCCTACAATGCACAGAAATACACTGAATATCATGGACATTCACATCACTTCTCTTGTAGCATCTGACCCCACTGCCATAGGGCTCTCAAAAATATTCTTATCCCCTACATTTCTACCACCTGTGTGTGGTGAGAAGTGCTAGGCTAGATGAGAGGGCTACCTTCTACATAGTGGGCCATGCCCCTGCCTCAGTGGAGAATAAGCAAAGGAGTTTGGAAAAGTGCCTTCATCATACCTGTCCTTCTGGGGTGTTACAACTGGAGGTGCAGTTGAAGAGGGCTCCTTGCTGGGAGGTAACTCTCTGGGGGAAAAGAGACATAACTTTGCTGAGAGTCATAGGCAATAGTGCCTCTCCTCAGAGCTACTTCCCAGAGGGGGAAAGCAAATATACCTTTATCCTGTGTCCCTGCCCCATGTTACTGGCCCAAATCTGCCTCATATACCCAGTTGCCACCCTCTTCCACTAAGTACTTCAGTCTGATACACCTGGTAGCCTCTGGGGCACATTGATAGGAGTTCTTCCTTCCTCATTCTAGCTACAAGATAAATGAGTGACAAAGAATATGGGAACTGACTTAAGATGTCTGACGGGTCAACCACCATTAAGTCAAATGTTAGGAAGCTAACTAGGTTGACCACCTGAAACTAAGAGAAAAGGTCTCTAGCTACACTTAGGACAGGGAAAAAAGGGTACTCAAGGACAACCAGGGATGAGGGGCACAAGGGGTCAGTCATGGTCATACGTAAAGTTCTGTATCTCTCCTCCCGCCACTGCCTTGGGCTTGACACTGGCATACTAGTTAGGGCCTGGCTCTTGGCCAAACTGGGCCTCTCACCATCTTTAACAGGGCCCCTTTCCTTCCTGCCCTTTTCTACCCTTCCCCACTTCATTCAGGCAGAGAACTACTAGGGGCTGCAGCATCCCAGAATCACAACTAGAAATTTCTCTAGAGTACTCACATGGTCTGGCCTTCTGTATCATCTGGTTTGTGAATCCAGCTGCTGTCATCTTTGATGATGGTTCGAACTTTCATTTGTTTGATGACATTTTTTTGATCACCTTCTCCAGGTTCAGAATATCCTATAAAGAAAGTACAGATAGCTACTTTCCAAAGGAAAGTGGCATTTGGAGAGGGGTAGGGGGAGAAGTGACCATGTCATGGCTAAGGATGAATTGGATTAATGTCCCTCAATAGGCAAGGCTAATGAGCCCATCTATTTGGAGGATGTTATTCATCTGTGTGAAAGATACATATGCAGCCCAAAGATTCTTCCCACCTAGCCTCATTTTACAGCTAGAGGAAAAAAATGGCATCCAGAGTGGGCCACGGTTCTAGTCACATCTGCCCAATGAGTCATTGGCAAAGTTTCAGCAGCAGCATCACCACTGTGGCTAGAAGTCTTGAGCTATGCATAGAGCTAGGGAGGGAAGGAGATGGTGTCCTTGGCTTTTAGGGAGCCTGTTATCTAAGACAGGCAAGGGTGATGATGTAGACAATGGAATTCCAGGGTGTGAATTAAATAGACGGCTGCAGTCCATCCAAAGTTACCAAGGTGAGCTCATGCAATGGAATGGGCAAGTACAGAGGAGGCCCAAGGGTGCCATGCATTGGAGGGGAGACAAGAGCCCTGCTGGAGCCAAGGGAAGGCCTCATGCTCTGGGGCAGCCTTAGTGGAGAGAAGGAAAGACTCCCCAGCCCTCAGGCTCCATGCCCCAATCACCATCCTTGGCCAGAGAGGTGGCCTACATGAAGTATAAGGTTACAGGACATGGAATCCCACAGACTGACTCAAGGTGTGCTAGTAGATGGTGGAAACACTTCAGCAGCTTCTTGGCCAGAACAATGGCCTCCAGCTCCAGCCAATCCTCTCAGCTGAGAAGTTCTCAGAGAGCAAAGGAGAGGGGCAGAGGCCTGGAAAAAAAGGGATAGGGACCTGAGAGGCAGGAGTCAAGGGACTTACCTTTGGGGAGTCTTCCGAAAGGCATAATGGTGTGGCTGTGTATTCACAGGTCAGAGCAATACAGCAAATGGTTCTGGGGGAGACAAGACATTGACTGTTGTTGCAGCCAGTGGCAGAACTTGGCTCAGTGCCCTAAATCCCACCACTCCCAGACAGCTCTGCCAGGCAGCAGTGGCTTCTTCTCCACATCTGTGGCTAATTAGATGGGGACAAAACCCACCAGCAATGACCTCAGAAGCTTTGAGCAGCTGAGTGTGCCCAGCAAACTAACTTAATCCAACAAAGTACTGAAAAAATGGAAACAGTCCTTGTCCTCCAGGAGCTTATATTTGGCTGGGAAGAGAAGGGAGCAGCAACATGCAAACAGGTCAGTAATAATTGATAATTGATGACGATGATAACTGAAGGAGGGAGGAGAGAACACTGGCCACTACAGAAAAGCTTTCAGGATCTAAGCCTTGAAGGAAACCTCATGGAAAATCATGGGATCAAAGATGGTGAGCTAGAGGGACAGAGATCAGTTAATCCAACCTCCTTATTTTACAGATGAGAAAAAATGAGGCCCAGAGAGGTCAACTGGTTTGTCTGAGGTCACACACACATAAGAGATAAACAGGATTTGAACCTCACTCTATTGACTGCAAATCCAGTCTCTGCCACCTAGAAAATATTCTTCTTCCTCCAGGCTCTCTGACCTAGGACAGCCTTCAGAGATCATCCTGCCCACCTCCTCCCCCAGCATTACAGATGGGAAAACTGAGGCCCAGAGAGGTACACTCAGGGCCAAGCGTCAAGCCTAGGTGGCAGCAATTGCCAAGAATGTCAAGGATTTTTCTCCTGCTAAATTGTAGCCTGGCATGAAGAAGACCATCAGTACTGTGCCCCATAGTGATGGATTTCCAGAGGTTCCAGTTCTCAGTACCCTAGGAGCCTACAGAGATTGGACTAGGGCCCAAGCATACTACCTGTGGTGGATTCAGCCTGGAGTTGGACTGGATCTTGGGGGGCTAGAACCAAGGCCCTCCCTCCCTTATCCACGACTTAATAAATGCTTGCTGAATGACAGATTCATAGGCCAGCCTTCCAAGTACTTGAAGATATCACATGATGGCTGTGCCTTTCAGAGCCTGTCATCCCTTCATGATCCCCTTCCCTCACCCTCAAATCAAATATTTCTAGTTATTCCAGCTGATCTCAGCCAGTCCCCTCCTCATGCTTGGTTACCCTCCTCTGGACAGTCTCCAGCTCATCAATGGCCTGAGTCCATTCGCCCCAGACGTGGCCTGCCCAGGGCATTCCAAAACGGCAAGCTCCTGGGCTTAGGAGTTCTGGAGAAGAACCCTTCTTAATGCAGCCAAAGATTATGTGAGTTTTGGGGGCCACCATTTCCAGTGCTGCCCCATGTTGAGCTTGCAGGCAACTTGATTCCCCCCCCCCCCACCAGCACTTCCTAGCTAAAAATGTTGAAGAACAGAGCTCAGGTGCCTGGAGCACTCCCTGGAGCGCTTTTTCTAAGGAGACATAGCCCCATTATGGACTGTTCTTTGGATGTTGCCATCTTACCCTTTCCAAATTCATCTAACTATAAAGGGTTGTGCCCCAGTAACAGCAACACTGTGCAATGACCAGCTTTGACAGACTTCGCTTTTCTGAGCAGTTCAATGATCCAAGACAATTCCAAAAGCCTCATAATGGAAAATGCTATCCACATCCAAAGAAAGAACCATGGAGTCTGAATGCAGATCAATGCATACTATTTGCTCTCTTTTTTTTTGTTTTTTTCTTTCTCGTGCTTTTCCCATTTTGTTCTGATTCTTCTTTCACAACATGACTAATGGGGAAATAGGTTTAATATGATAGTCCATGTATAGCCTATATCAGATTGCATGAAGTCTTGAGGAAGGAGAAAAAAGACTAGAACTCAAAATCTTATAAAAGTGAATGTTGAAAACTATCTTTACGTGTAATTGGAAAAAATAAAATACTGTTAAGTGGGGGGGAAAAGGGTTGTGCCCTAGTTCACATCTCTCCATACTGTCCACACAATAGAGCATGAACAACCTGGGCAAATGCTTTCCCAAAATCTAGGTAAACTCTTATTTACAGCACTCTCCTTATCTATCAATCTATGGCCAATCTATCATAACCTATTTGTGAAGAAGTCATGCTGGCTTTCTCTGATTAAACACTCCCTTTTCTAAATATTCACGAACTGTTCCCTTAATAAGATGTGTGAGACGTTTGCCAGGAATTTCAATCAAGCCCATTGGCTTATGATTGGCAAGTAGCTTTCTCCTCTTACTTGAAATTTGGGACATTTGCTCTGCTCCAGCCTGAGGCTAACTTCTGTTCTCCAGAATACCAATAGAGGCTTAGTAAGTACCTCCGTTAGTGCTTTCAGTACTTGGGCATGTGGTTCTTCTGGGCCAAGTGACTCGCCCTCATCAAAATGCTCTCTTATTATCTGCCTACTTATCTTGGGTTTAAAGCCATTTTTATTCTGTGCTTTCTAGTCCAAAGACCAAAGATTCCTGGCAGAGAAAACAGAATAAAAAGGAGAATTAAGTTGTGCTGTCTTCCCTTGGTCAATGATCCATTCCATCATAATACATAACTTTGGCTCAAATGACTTTGCCTTTCTGGGCCTCAGTTCCCTCAACTGTACAAATGAGGGCATTGAGAGGTTCTAAAGCTCTTTTCCCATCTTTTCCATTCTGTTCAGTTTGTGCAAATCCACAGATCCCATCAGTCATTTCTTCCTTCCCCTCCCTCCAAATACACACCTGCTGCTGCTTTCAGCTTGTAGCAAACAGTTATTCTATTGGTTACACCCAATCTCCCTTGGATAACTTAAAAAGTGGATTCCAAACTTCTGTGGAAAAGCCTTTAGTAAAGGCCACCCAAAGACCACACACTTTGCTCTGTGTGTGTGTGGGGTGTGTATGTGTGTGTGTGCGTGCATGTACATGCTTGTGCCTTCTTAACCCCAACCCCGGGTTTACGCTTCGGACCAATCTGGGAATCCTTAGCCTCCAGGGAAGGCCCTCCTACACCCACTGTGAGCAAATCCAATCAAATCAACAAACACTGAAAACTACCTGCTCTCTGAAGCTCTCTGATTTCCCAAACTGGTGATAAAAGATAGAATTCTACCTCCAGGGGACCGTTGCTTGGTCTGTAGATTTCCAGGGACTATCATGCAATCTTTCAGGACAACTGGGGCTGATCCCTGGCAACAGCTGTCCATTGGCTCACATGTTTTGAGCCAGAAGGACCCTTAGAGAGTACTTAGTCCAACTCTCTCATTTTACAGATGAGGAGACCAAGGTTCAGAGAATGCTCAAGATCATGCCCGTAGTAAAAGTGGCAGATGCTGGCTTTGCTTAATACCAGTTTGTTGAAGGAATGAATTGAATTAATGAGGGCACTAGAATCATTGAATCTGAATGTGGAAAAGGACCTCAGTAGCTATATAGTTGAAACCATATAGGAAAAAGAATCCTCTTTCCAACATGCCTGGTGAATGGTCATCCCCACTTAGCTTGCAGATCTCCAGTGAGAGGAAAACCCACTACCCGCCTTGGCAGCCCATTCCACTTGTGCCACAGGCGGTGAATGGTAGAGAGCAGACTTGGGCCTCATCCCCCTGAATGCCAAAATGATTTCATGAGCCCTCCTCTTTTGATCCTTGAAATGGTCCTCTCAGAGAAGCCACTTTCCCTGCTCCCTGAGCCTGGCTCCTCATCTCTCAAACAGGGCTCACAGCTCTACCTGTGACAAGGACTGGCATAAAGACTTCCTGAACCAAGCTACTCGACAGCTCTGGAAGGCAGAAAGGGATTAGCTCTTCATTACCACCTTCATCACCCCCAGCAGGAGGGTGCCTCCTATGGGCCTCACTCCAGGCCCATCCTGGCAGGGCTTGCTGGGCCTGGGGTGTGGTGGGGCCTTTGCAAGCAGCCTCTCGGGCGCCCTGGTGGGGCCTGCTAGGTTGAGCTGTGGGAGGCTGGCAGTAGTTACCCTCAGCTTGTTTTTATAGACCTGAATCACTTGGCTATAGTCCCTCTAGCCAGCCAGTCCTAGCCTGTTCTGTCCTAACAAACCTTACCGGTTGCTTCAGCCTCCCATCTAAGTGGGAACACATGGGTTCATGGCTTGCCCAAGCTAGAGAACCTTACAGAAAGAAAGGCAGATACTAACCACCCCAACCTGCCCAGGGTTTTCCAAGCGTCTATGTATCCCCAATAGATCTGCAGGCCTGTGGAATGGACGGTCTGGAAGGAATCCTTTCTCTCCACTCACTAGGTTAACACCTCATTCAGGGCTTTAGTCTCTCTCACCTGGACTATCACAGGGCCCTCCTAATCAAACTCCTGGCTTCTATCATCTCTCCACCAAACCATTTTTTTTTTTTTTTGCTTTTTGGTGAGGCAATTGGGGTTAAGTGACTTGCCCAGGGTCACACAGCTAGTTAAGTGTCAAGTGTCAAGTGTCTGAGGCCAGATTTGAACTCAGGAACTCCTGACTCCAAGGCTGGAGTTCCATGCACTGCGCCACCTAGCTGCCCACCGCCAAACCATTTTTCTAAAGCACAGGCCTGACCACATTCCCCACCTTACCCCACTCCTCTTCCCTTCCCCATTCACCATTTAGCCAGGGCAATAAAGCTCCTGTCTCCCCTCACTATGCAACAATGTAGATGGAAGTTTTCTTAGGAAAACCTATTCATCCTCCAAGGCCTGGCTCAATGACCACCTCTTCTAGGAAGTCTTATTGGATTGTTCTCCATCCAGTAGGGAAGGAAGAAGGAAGAAGCATTTATGCAGTTCATTTATATTCACTTATATAGCAATAGGCCTGTCTCTCTCAAGTACACTCAGCCACATCCTTCCAACTCTGCTTCTACTCGTCACATCTTGTCCATCTTGTGTTCGAATTATTTTTGTACATCTCTCTTCTCCTCTAACACAGTAATCTCTCTGAGGAAAAGGGGACCTGGAGTCCTGTCTCCTCTCCTCTCCCCAAAGCCTTGCAGAGAGCAGGGAACCAGTAAATCCTCACTCATGCACATGG